ATCATGACATTATTAATAACAACTGCATCCAAAGATTCAAACTTATAACACCTTCTCAAATCCCAACCCAACTAGTTACATTAAGCATAAAACCAACCAAAAGGTCTACTCTACACCATATGTATGAAATACTATCAATAAGTTCACAGAATAATGAATGATATAACTATTTAACATAAACAAATTGAGCATTCATTCAAATTGAGCATTATTTTACATGTTCACAGAACGACGCATATAAAAAGCCTACAAGCATACGAAGTCAAATGAAAAGCCTCCAGTCCAATAAATAAACAGAAATGAATTTGTGTCTAGTAGGCAATATCCCAAATAAGTGAAATAATCCCAATGCCTCCCANAGATGAAGAAAAATCCCTAAATCCTAAACCCTAGATCTGAAATTGAAATAAAAAATCTCTATATCAAAAAATTGAAAACAAAACCCCTATATCTGAAATTGAAATACATGGATACATATATGTATACATCTATACAAAAAAGGTCAAATATATACATAAATAGGTCAAATCTATGCATATTGATACATATATATGTACAGATCTTCAAAAAATGAAAATAAATATTACTTTTTTTAAGTTAGAGAGAACCACCGGAGACGAGATCAACGCCGGAGACAAGATCAACCTACTTCAGCTGGAGATAGTCTTTGCTTCAACAAGCAAGAGATGAGAGAGTAGTAGGTTCACTTCAGACAGAAACAGATGTGTGTGTGTGTGTGTGTGAGAGAGAGAGACAGAGAGAGAGATGAGAGATGAGAGATGAGAGATGCGAGGATGAGAAGGGGGAAATTTTCGTAGTTTATATACTCGGGCAAATATCTTTTTAAATTTCTTTTAATGGGGTTCGACGACAAGACCTCATTTAACCATTCCCCCCTCCGGGCACNTTGATACATATATATGTACAGATCTTCAAAAAATGAAAATAAATATTACTTTTTTTAAGTTAGAGAGAACCACCAGAGACGAGATCAACGCCGGAGACAAGATCAACCTACTTCAGCTGGAGATAGTCTTTGCTTCGACAAGCAAGAGATGAGAGAGTAGTAGGTTCACTTCAGACAGCAACAGATGTGTGTGTGTGTGTGAGAGAGTGAGAGAGTGAGAGAGAGAGAGAGAGATGAGAGATGCGAGGATGAGAAGGGGGAAATTTTCGTAGTTTATATACTCGGGCAAATATCTTTTTAAATTGCTTTTAATGGGGTTTGACGACAAGACCTCATTTAACCATTCCCCCCTCCGGGCACGTGTTTTTGTTTTTCTCTGTTTTTGAAAGAATCTATCTTCATGTTTTCAATATTTGGGGTTGTTTACAAAACAGATTGGCCAAAAGAAAAAAAAAACACCCCAAACACATTTTTGTTTTTTTTTAGGATAAAGTGAAAACAAAAACCAAAAAAAATGCAAACATTGTATTACCAAACACAGCTGAACTAAATAATTTAAGGACCAAATTAACAAAATTGATCAATAAGGACCAAATTAACAAAATATGCATAATTTAGAGATTAAAAGTGCTATTAACCCTAAAACATAATATTCTATTCTATAATACATATTTTAAAAGAATATTAAAATTCTAAAATTCAAATTTTACTTAAAAATACACTATAATCTATTTTATATAAACTCTTAATAAAACATGAAAAATTTACTGTAATTAAAGTATTATGTTGATTTAACATAAACTTTTTTTTAAAAATACTACATAAAAGTTTATTTTTAATCTTAAAAATGAAATGGTTGAACTTTTGGATAAAAAAATACACATATGTAAGCATAACGTTATTTTTATATTTGAAACGAGCAATGTTAGATTGATGAAATTTTTGAGACGTTTTATTGAAAACTATAATGTAGGTATAATGTTATCTTTATATTTGAAAAAATAATGATTTATTGATGGAGTTTCTGAAGATTTTTTGAAAACTTTATTAAAAACTATAATGATGCATATATTTTTTAAGGGTAACGTAGTCAATTAAAAAAATTCATAGTTCTTTGATATTTATAAATAAGGAATAGAGAATTACAAGAGATGTTATGGGATAATTTGGAGATTTAAGTCCATAAGAACATGATTTTAACTTAGATATTTAACTATAGAAAGGTAATGTGATATTTAAAATACTTTATAAGGATAAATTAGTGAATCAAAAACTTTTTATTTAAGGTACTTTTATTAGTGGTATAGNTTAACAAAATATGCATAATTTAGAGATTAAAAGTGCTATTAACCCTAAAACATAATATTCTATTCTATAATACATATTTTAAAAGAATATTAAAATTCTAAAATTCAAATTTTACTTAAAAATACACTATAATCTATTTTATATAAACTCTTAATAAAACATGAAAAATTTACTGTAATTAAAGTATTATGTTGATTTAACATAAACTTTTTTTTAAAAATACTACATAAAAGTTTATTTTTAATCTTAAAAATGAAATGGTTGAACTTTTGGATAAAAAAATACACATATGTAAGCATAACGTTATTTTTATATTTGAAACGAGCAATGTTAGATTGATGAAATTTTTGAAAATTTTTTAGACATTTTATTGAAAACTATAATGATGCATGTAATTTTTAAAAAAAATTCTATATGTACTGATATTTATACATAGAGAAGTAAAAAAGATGTTATAAGTAATTTAGAAATTTAAACACATAAAGATATGATGGTAATTTAGATATTTAACTATAAAATGATAGTGTGATATTTAAAATTCTTTATAAGAATAAAATAGTGAATCAAAAAATATTCATGCTAAAGTACTTTTATTAGTAGTATAGATAAAAAAAAATATNAATACACTATAATCTATTTTATATAAACTCTTAATAAAACATGAAAAATTTACTGTAATTAAAGTATTATGTTGATTTAACATAAACTTTTTTTTAAAAATACTACATAAAAGTTTATTTTTAATCTTAAAAATGAAATGGTTGAACTTTTGGATAAAAAAATACACATATGTAAGCATAACGTTATTTTTATATTTGAAACGAGCAATGTTAGATTGATGAAATTTTTGAAGATTTTTTAGACATTTTATTGAAAACTATAATGATGCATGTAATTTTTAAAAAAAATTCTATATGTACTGATATTTATACATAGAGAAGTAAAAAAGATGTTATAAGTAATTTAGAAATTTAAACACATAAAAATATGATGGTAATTTAGATATTTAACTATAAAATGATAGTGTGGTATTTAAAATTCTTTATAAGGATAAAATAGTGAATCAAAAAATATTCATTCTAAAGTACTTTTATTAGTAGTATAGATAAAAAAAAATTCGTATATGTAGGTATAATGTTATCTTTATATTTGAAAAAATAATGATTTATTGATGGAGTTTCTGAAGATTTTTTGAAAACTTTATTAAAAACTATAATGATGCATATATTTTTTAAGGGTAACGTAGTCAATTAAAAAAATTCATAGTTCTTTGATATTTATAAATAAGGAATAGAGAATTACAAGAGATGTTATGGGATAATTTGGAGATTTAAGTCCATAAGAACATGATTTTAACTTAGATATTTAACTATAGAAAGATAATGTGATATTTAAAATACTTTATAAGGATAAAATAGTGAATCAAAAACTTTTTATTTAAGGTACTTTTATTAGTGGTATAAATAAATTTGCAAAGAGTTCATTTTTGTTGTTATCAATCAAAATTGTATTTTGATTATTCCACCCCCAATAAGTCATTTGATTATCCGTTTGATATTTCATTGAGTATATTATACCAAAAATAATTTTTGTGGGTGAATTGCTTGGGTAGTTAGCAGTAAATGCGTCAAATGTACTCGGTGACATGATTATAGTTAAAAGATGTGATTGTGGCCCTGAGAGGTGTGTGTGAAATTCTTATGCACTAAGTGACACCTAACATGTTGCCAAGACGAATCGGGTATAAAGCTACAAGTAATTTGAAAGATTAAAATATTAAGTCTCTTCATGTTGAATTTGTAAAGTAATATCATTTTTGCCAATCTTCTGCAATTGATCCTTGGTAATTGATTATCGTTTGATCAACTATTATGTATATTGTGTTTTGTTCTACTTACTGGGCCTCCCCAAGCTCCCCTCCATTTACCCTCTCAGTCACAAGTTGATCTTACAACATAAGTGGTAGAAGATCAAGTCGATTAAGAAATAATAAACTTTTGATGGTGAATTATTTATATGTAGTTTTTGGGTGATTGAAACAATTGTAATTAATTTCATTATCAAGGTCCCGTTTGGTAACGTTTATGTGTTTCATTTTTTGTTTTTATTTTCATATTTGAAGAAAATCAGAACAAAAAATTCGTTTGACAACTGTTTTCGTTTTTTTTTTATTGTCATCGTTTTCAAAACGATGGACGATTTTCAAATGCGAAAAAAAGCCGTTTTTGAAAAATTTCAAAAACGNGTAATTAATTTCATTATCAAGGTCCCGTTTGGTAACGTTTATGTGTTTCATTTTTTGTTTTTATTTTCATATTTGAAGAAAATCAGAACAAAAAATTCGTTTGACAACTGTTTTCATTTTTTTTTTATTGTCATCGTTTTCAAAACGATGGACGATTTTCAAATACGAAAAAAAGCCGTTTTTGAAAAATTTCAAAAACATTTAACGCGCATGGAACATTAATAAGGTCAAGGGATCAAACTTTGTTAGCACCAAAAAACCTCACTTATTGACCACCATATAAATAGTGATTGATCCCAAACCCTAACTCCTCTAACCTCTCCAAGCGTCTCTTCGCTACCAAACCTCCCTCCCTCCCTCTCTCTCTCTCTCTCTCTCTCGCTCNTAGCACCAAAAAACCTCACTTATTGACCACCATATAAATAGTGATTGATCCCAAACCCTAACTCCTCTAACCTCTCCAAGTGTCTCTTCGCTATCAGACCTCCCTCCCTCCCTCTCTCTCTCTCTCGCTATTTCAACCCCAGACGGTGAAGGTTAATGGTGCCTCCGCCGAAGAGTTCTGGTTTGACTGGTGGTGCCGCCGATGACAAGGAGTTGCTACAAACCTATCAGACCTGGAAAGGCAACAATGTATGTTCAACTCCTCTGTCTCTCTCTACATGTCTACTTGGAAGAAAATTAATTTCAGTTTCCTGTTGATTGGAATGAGGTTTAGGGGTGAATATACATGGTTAATCGATGTTGTTGATGGAAAATTTAGGGTTTTATGATCTAATTTATGAAGGAAAATTCTAATTTGGTTCGCGCTTTTGAGGTTTTGTCTTGTGTTGCAACATGAGATGGTAATGGTACCATCCTTGTACCGTTATTAATTTTGTTTGAATCTTCTTTAATTGGATTTGTTTTGAGCTGCTACATTTGGGTTTTGTGTTTGACAAGAAAGTAAAAGATTTTGATTCTTTTATGGTTGGCTGTATACATCACAAAGAGTGTGTTAACTTGAACTTCCTGGATTAACTTGAACTTTCGACGGCGAAGGTGTTCTAACCTTCGTCTTCGACAGTGAAAGGTTCTCCATCAAGGTATTTTTTTTTCTTTTGTTCTGTATTGTTGATTTTTTTTGTCTTCGTCTTTGTGGATCAAAATCAAGAACAAAAAAGTCAAAATTTACACAAAAATATGAGATTCAATGCAAAACCCAGATGAAAATCAAGAACAAGAATTGTCAAAACTATATGACAGTTAAAAGGCAATTATTTGATCTTTCATGTGAGCTGATGTGGTGTGGGCTTCCTTCTGGTCAATTATAACCCATTCATGTTTATTACAACAGTTAGAATACGACCAGATTAAACATTTGCTTATTATGGCTGGCTTTTTGTATGCCAGGTACCTTTACCCTTTCAAATCTTGGAAAGTTTGGTGTAGATCACTTTGATGCCATTTTCCTNTGATGGAAAATTTAGGGTTTTATGATCTAATTTATGAAGGAAAATTCTAATTTGGTTCGTGCTTTTGAGGTTTTGTCTTGTGTTGCAACATGAGATGGTAATGGTACCATCCTTGTACCGTTATTAATTTTGTTTGAATCTTCTTTAATTGGATTTGTTTTGAGCTGCTAAATTTGGGTTTTGTGTTTGACAAGCAAGTAGAAGATTTTGATTCTTTTATGGTTGGCTGTATACATCACAAAGAGTGTGTTAACTTGAACTTTCGACGGCGAAGGTGTTCTAGCCTTCGTCTTCGACAGTGAAGGGTTCTCCATCAAAGTAATTTTTTTTTTTTCTTTTGTGCTGTATTGTTGATTTTTTTTGTCTTCGTCTTTGTGGAACAAAATCAAGAACAAAAAAGTCGAAATTTACACAAAAATATGAGATTCAATGCAAAACCCAGATGAAAATCAAGAACAAGAATTGCCAAAACTATATGACAGTTAAAAGGCGATTATTTGATCTTTCATGTGAGCTGATGTGGTGTGGGCTTCCTTCTGGTCAATTGTAACGCATTCATGTTTATTACAACAGTTAGAATACGACCAGATTAAACATTTGCTTATTATGGCTGGCTTTTTGTATGCCAGGTACCTTTACCCTTTCAAATCTTGGAATGTTTGGTGTAGATCACTTTGATGCCATTTTACTGCCAGGAACTGTAAGTTTTGNCAACATGAGATGGTAATGGTACCATCCTTGTACCGTTATTAATTTTGTTTGAATCTTCTTTAATTGGATTTGTTTTGAGCTGCTACATTTGGGTTTTGTGTTTGACAAGAAAGTAAAAGATTTTGATTCTTTTATGGTTGGCTGTATACATCACAAAGAGTGTGTTAACTTGAACTTCCTGGATTAACTTGAACTTTCGACGGCGAAGGTGTTCTAACCTTCGTCTTCGACAGTGAAAGGTTCTCCATCAAGGTATTTTTTTTTCTTTTGTGCTGTATTGTTGATTTTTTTTGTCTTCGTCTTTGTGGATCAAAATCAAGAACAAAAAAGTCAAAATTTACACAAAAATATGAGATTCAATGCAAAACCCAGATGAAAATCAAGAACAAGAATTGTCAAAACTATATGACAGTTAAAAGGCGATTATTTGATCTTTCATGTGAGCTGATGTGGTGTGGGCTTCCTTCTGGTCAATTATAACCCATTCATGTTTATTACAACAGTTAGAATACGACCAGATTAAACATTTGCTTATTATGGCTGGCTTTTTGTATGCCAGGTACCTTTACCCTTTCAAATCTTGGAATGTTTGGTGTAGATCACTTTGATGCCATTTTACTGCCAGGAACTGTAAGTTTTGGCAATTAAATTTAAATTCATCCTCTCTAGTAGATTACCTGTCATTTGACCAAATTGAGCAAATGTAACTGATGTATGCGAATTATTTTTTTACAAGGTGCAATCATGGCTGTTGGAGCATCTCAGCCCTCTGTAGTTGCTACAAAGGACGGTCGGATTGGCATGAGAAGTCAGATGCAGGTTAATCTCTTGTTTATTTCCACTATTAGTATTTGATGTCTTGATTTTTTCATTAGACCGTGCGAGTAACTTCTTGTTGAGTACTGAATTTTGACGAAGCAATAATTACCGGCAAATGTTACGGCAGATCATCGTGTCATATACGGTTCCGATCTAGCTTCATTCTTGCAATCTCTAGCTCAGTTAATCGAGGACCCTAAAGATCTTACCCTTTAGTCCCCCCGATTTTNACCATCCTTGTACCGTTATTAATTTTGTTTGAATCTTCTTTAATTGGATTTGTTTTGAGCTGCTACATTTGGGTTTTGTGTTTGACAAGAAAGTAAAAGATTTTGATTCTTTTATGGTTGGCTGTATACATCACAAAGAGTGTGTTAACTTGAACTTCCTGGATTAACTTGAACTTTCGACGGCGAAGGTGTTCTAACCTTCGTATTCGACAGTGAAAGGTTCTCCATCAAGGTATTTTTTTTTCTTTTGTGCTGTATTGTTGATTTTTTTTGTCTTCGTCTTTGTGGATCAAAATCAAGAACAAAAAAGTCAAAATTTACACAAAAATATGAGATTCAATGCAAAACCCAGATGAAAATCAAGAACAAGAATTGTCAAAACTATATGACAGTTAAAAGGCAATTATTTGATCTTTCATGTGAGCTGATGTGGTGTGGGCTTCCTTCTGGTCAATTATAACCCATTCATGTTTATTACAACAGTTAGAATACGACCAGATTAAACATTTGCTTATTATGGCTGGCTTTTTGTATGCCAGGTACCTTTACCCTTTCAAATCTTGGAATGTTTGGTGTAGATCACTTTGATGCCATTTTACTGCCAGGAACTGTAAGTTTTGGCAATTAAATTTAAATTCATCCTCTCTAGTAGATTACCTGTCATTTGACCAAATTGAGCAAATGTAACTGATGTATGCGAATTATTTTTTTACAAGGTGCAATCATGGCTGTTGGAGCATCTCAGCCCTCTGTAGTTGCTACAAAGGACGGTCGGATTGGCATGAGAAGTCAGATGCAGGTTAATCTCTTGTTTATTTCCACTATTAGTATTTGATGTCTTGATTTTTTCATTAGACCGTGCGAGTAACTTCTTGTTGAGTACTGAATTTTGACGAAGCAATAATTACCGGCAAATGTTACGGCAGATCATCGTGTCATATACGGTTCCGATCTAGCTTCATTCTTGCAATCTCTAGCTCAGTTAATCGAGGACCCTAAAGATCTTACCCTTTAGTCCCCCCGATTTTCTGAGATAAATTTCTTGTACTGTTATGTGGCTCTCATCCATTTGATTATCATCCGAGATCTTTATTGAGTACCATTGGGGTGAAGTCAAGACATAATCACTATCTGCACACAGTTATGTAGAACAACAGGAGCAGAATTCTGAAGAGCAATATTGTTATAGTTTTCCTTTAAATTAGCGTTTGTTAAGTTTTAGACACTAAGGATATATTTTATATTGTAATAAATTGTGGCTTAATTAAGCGTTGATCATTGATTTTGTCTTTTAAATCTCCTTGTTCAGTTATCTTTTTTAAGAAATTGCTGTGATATTGGAGTTTTTAGCAAGCAATGTCTTTCTATGTGTAATGTATTGGTCAAATGTTACCAAGAAATGAGAAAAAAAGGCACAAGTCTCACAGTTTGCTGTTTGTAACCAGCACACATAATTTCATGGACAATAGTAATTAAGGTAGCATAGAATTATGTTAATGTATACAAGCTAGTCAAAAAAAAAAAAAAAATTCAAGTATTACATCCAAACGAGTTTTCTGTTTTTGTTGTCGGATTTTGTTACAACTATAAAAGCAACCAAACACGTTTTCTGTTTTCATTTTTTACTAACGAAAATCTAAAACTGATTCTATTTTTCATTTTTTTAAAAAGCCAAAATTGTAAACGCTTCCAAACGAGCCCCAAGAGATTTATTTATTTATTGAGGTTTTTAGCACTCTAAATGATATGAATTGAGTTTAAGGCATGGCAATTTTGGTCCNTTTAAATCTCCTTGTTCAGTTATCTTTTTTAAGAAATTGCTGTGATATTGGAGTTTTTAGCAAGCAATGTCTTTCTATGTGTAATGTATTGGTCAAATGTTACCAAGAAATGAGAAAAAAAGGCACAAGTCTCACAGTTTGCTGTTTGTAACCAGCACACATAATTTCATGGACAATAGTAATTAAGGTAGCATAGAATTATGTTAATGTATACAAGCTAGTCAAAAAAAAAAAAAAAAATTCAAGTATTACATCCAAACGAGTTTTCTGTTTTTGTTGTCGGATTTTGTTACAACTATAAAAGCAACCAAACACGTTTTCTGTTTTCATTTTTTACTAACGAAAATCTAAAACTGATTCTATTTTTCATTTTTTTAAAAAGCCAAAATTGTAACGCTTCCAAACAAGCCCCAAGAGATTTATTTATTTATTGAGGTTTTTAGCACTCTAAATGATATGAATTGAGTTTAAGGCATGGCAATTTTGGTCANCCTAAGGCCACAATCTAAGGTGTCTTTACCTATTTTTCAACCCAAGAAACCTAGAAAAATCTTAGGAGAAGAAAAAGAAGAACGGGCTGAATCTTGAAGGATTAACGCGAGGTAATCACAATGAAACAAGTTAGAATCAAAGATCTCAAGAATTAAGGTAAGAGTTTTTCCTAAACTTGTTCGTTGAGATAAAGGTTAATATGTATGTATGTTTTGATTCTAAATCGTATGTATATTTTGTAAAATCATTATTTCTTGATTTTCTTACAAATTGTATCATGTCTTGAATGAGGTTATCGTTTAAATAAAAACTCTCGTTTTTGCTATTAAAACCCTAATTTTCAAGAAATATAGGTTTTACCCTTGATATTACATTGTTCTTGATTTAAAAACTCTAATGGTTTGTTTGAACAATAAAGTTATATTTCTTAATGACCTCTTGCATATTTTCTTGAGCTGTTATGTTGAAAAAATACATGAGGAATTATGGTTCTTGGTTTACCCGTGATTTTGTGAATTGGTCTGGTATTGTTTCTCTTGTATGGATGTTTTGATGAACATGGGTGACTATTAATCGAGTATCGTGAAGTGGGTCGATACGTTTTTTACTCCGAATAGGTTTGAAAGTTTCCTACCACTCGAAATGGGGTTGGTGCCTTACAAGTACCAAACTACTATTCGCTTACGGGTATCGAGACTGAGAGCTAACATACTATTTTTGGGTTGGATTCATCACTACCAATGCATCGATAAACACCCTTCCTAAAGTTGTGTATCCTTGCAAGGATGGAGTGTGTGTGTGCGGGTCAAGATACTCTCAATATGTGTATTCATGCTAAACCTTATTACATACCTGTCACACCCTAATTGACTTGGGTGCAAATGGCCGGTCTTGGTGGCACCTTGCACCAAGGCATGCCAGAAATTGGAATCAAGGTGATACGGCTAAGTGGTTCGATAGATTGGGACGAACCAAGGCAGCATGAGACCACCCGATTGAGTATGGCAACATGGGTGGGCTCAATTGAAGCAATGTGGGTGCAGAACTTCGNTTATCGTTTAAATAAAAACTCTCGTTTTTGCTATTAAAACCCTAATTTTCAAGAAATATAGGTTTTACCCTTGATATTACATTGTTCTTGATTTAAAAACTCTAATGGTTTGTTTGAACAATAAAGTTATATTTCTTAATGACCTCTTGCATATTTTCTTGAGCTGTTATGTTGAAAAAATACATGAGGAATTATGGTTCTTGGTTTACCCGTGATTTTGTGAATTGGTCTGGTATTGTTTCTCTTGTATGGATGTTTTGATGAACATGGGTGACTATTAATCGAGTATCGTGAAGTGGGTAGATACGTTTTTTACTCCGAATAGGTTTGAAAGTTTCCTACCACTCGAAATGGGGTTGGTGTCTTACAAGGACCAAACTACTATTCGCTTACGGGTATCGAGACTGAGAGCTAACATACTATTTTTGGGTTGGATTCATCACTACCAATGCATCGATAAACACCCTTCCTAAAGTTGTGTATCCTTGCAAGGATGGAGTGTGTGTGTGCGGGTCAAGATACTCTCAATATGTGTATTCATGCTAAACCTTATTACATACCTGTCACACCCTAATTGACTTGGGTGCAAATGGCCGGTCTTGGTGGCACCTTGCACCAAGGCATGCTAGAAATTGGAATCAAGGTGATGCGGCTAAGTGGTTCGACAGATTGGGACGAACCAAGGCAGCATGAGACCACCCGGTTGAGTATGGCAACATGGGTGGGCTCAATTGAAGCAATGTGGGTGCAGAGCTTCAGATTGCATGGCATGGGTTGAACCCAGCATGCACATTGGTTCGAGTAGCAAGGGTGACTGGTGAATGTGGGCACATGACTGCTGAATGTGGGCACATGAATGCTGAATGTGGGCACCTGATTGGCACATGGCTGCTCAATGCATGTGACCAGGAGGATGTGGGCAGTTATGATGCTGAGACTCAATCAAGGCAGTTGCTGAGGCAGTTCTGGATGTCCCCAGTCTGAATCCAGTCTAGATGCATGCTGATGAAGGGGCAGTTCCACAGCAGTTACTTGAAGTGGTGGAACTGTCTGCCAGGTGTTGCACAGAGACCAAGTCTACTAGTCCAGTATGCTATGGAATAGCAAAAACGTGGGTAACTACCCCTTGGCAGATGGGGGTGTCATCTGCCTTCCTCTTGTATAAATAGAGGTGCTTGAGCATTCTGGAGGGGGGAGAGTGTTCTGGCTTTTGAGAGTCCTTGTAAATTGTTGAGTTCAATATATAAGGTTTGGGAGTGTTGTCCCAGTAGATTCGTGTGTGCCTTCTGTGTGAGTTTCTGTCCCTTATTCTTGAGTTGAGTGTGGCTGGTTGTAATAGCAACGCCTTCACAGGTAGCCTCAAAAGAAAAACGAAAGTTACCCTGTGACAGTTTGGTATCAGAGCGTGATTTTGGCAACAGATCAATTATGGCTGGCGGAACGAATGTTGATCTAAGGGAAAAGGTGGCACGGTTGGAGGAGCTGGTTGGTCCTCCACAGTCTGGTGATGTTGTAGCTCTCTCTGTGCAGATTGAGTTGCTATATCAGCGGTTCGAAGAGATGCGTGTTGCACATGAACAACTTCAAAAGACTGAATCTGATCACTTCAGTCGAGTGAAAAACGAAGTCGTTGACGTGTTGGCTACGATCTCCACATGGACCGATGCTATTGGAGAAAAATTGAGTTCCCTTGAGACCAACGTTTCAGTGCTTAAGAGGGCATTGCAGAATGCCCCTGTGGCTTCTGGCAGTGAAAGCACTCAGAAAGCTAAAGTGTCTGACCCTAAGCCTTTCACAGGCAGTCGAAATGCTAAAGAACTCGAGAATTTTTTGTGGGATATGGGACATTACTTTAAAGCAGTCCGTACTCCGGATGCTGAANCGAAATGCTAAAGAACTCGAGAATTTTCTGTGGGATATGGGACATTACTTCAAAGCAATCCGTACTTCGGATGCTGAGAAGGTAGATCTTACTAGCATGTACCTGTCCGATGATGCTAAATTATGGTGGTGAACACGTTCTGAGGACAAATCTCGTCTTCCAATTACTACTTGGGAGTCTCTGTCCGCTGAAATGAAGGAGCAATTTCTTCCCAGCAACACGGCTTGGCAAGCCCGTGATGCACTGAGGAAACTTCGACATACAAGCACTGTGAGAANAGGAAACTTTGACATACAAGCACCGTGAGGGAGTGCGTGAAGCAATTCTCGTCTCTGATGCTTGACATTAAAAATATGTCAGAAGAAGACAAACTGTTCAACTTTATGTCTGGCCTCCAAACTTGGGCACAGGCAGAACTTCGTCGGCAAGGGGTGAAGGATTTACCCGCTGCTATGTCCGCAGCAGACGCGCTGGTTGATTACAAAACGCAAGCTAATCCTCTAGAGAAGGAGTAGAAAGGGAAAGCCAAGTTTGCTAAGAAGGATAAGCAGTAGAAAAAGGCTGAGAAGTTTGGCAATTCAGAAAAACAGACTGACAAAGCCTCGTCATCAAAGGGAGGTGTTGACTCAGGATGTTTTATCTGTAATGGCCCTCATCGTGCCAAAAATTGACCCAAGAAGGAAAAGCTCAGTGCCCTCATGGCTGAGGAAACTAATTGTTCTGACGAACCAACACGAGTCAACCCATTACAACTTCTTAATGCAATTCGCAAAGAGGAGACAGTGGCAAAGAGGGGGTTGATGTTTGTG